TAAATTTATTAATTAAAATTTCTAAATAATTTTAAATTTTAAATAGTTTATAAACTAAAAAAGTATATTATAATTCTAAATATATTATTTTAAAAGTAAAGCTATATATTAAAAAATAAGTAAAATATAATAAATAAAAGGGTAGTATATTAATATAAAGCCTTCCTCCTATTAAATAAATAAATAGGATAAAGGTATAATAACGCTATCCTAATATAGCTATTCTCCTTTAGCAATAATAAACTAATAAATACTATTATAAACCAAATATATTAGAATTTTCCATTAATAATAAAGCTAATTAATATAATAAAAAACCTAAAAGTTTAATACTTCCTTAATAAAATAAAGGTAAAATTTAAAATATTTATAAATAATTATATAATAAAATAGGGCTATATTTATATAAAGAAATACTTATATATTTTTAAAAATATAATAATAAAGTTAAAAATTATATATAGAATATATAATTCTATATTAATAAAATACTTAAGTTAATATAAAAATTAAAACTTTTTAAAATACTTTTACTTTTAATTAAAAATATCCTAAAATATAGCTACCTTTATTAAAGGATATTACTTATATTAATAAATTAAGAATTTTAAAGTAACATTAATTAAACTATTTAAACCTTTCCTAATATTATATAAACTATAGATAAATATATTAATAAATTAAATAAACCCCCTATTATTATATATTTAAAACAGTATAAAATATAAATCGGTCCTAATTATAATAAACAAACTTATAAAGATAAAATACTTTATTTTAATAATAAATATAATAACGCATCTCCCACTTGACCTGGCCACCCAATTGAGCTGGCCACCCCCCCAGGCCATACAAAAAACGTCGGTGCGCTAATCACGTGATAATTTAATAACTTTACGAATATTAATCGTATAGAATAATAAAATATACCATTAGATTCGTAATAAAAAGAGCTATTTAACGGTACCCTCTATTGGTTTATACGAATTTTATTCGTAGAGTTATTAAGTAATACGCTAATGTAAGCGATAAATTAATCCTTACTTAGCGCCCCTTTAGCGTATTGCTTTATATCTCGCTTAATAAATTTTATAGAAAATAATAAAAAATACTGCTGGATTCCTTATAAAATAACGGATCTAATGGTACTAATTATCAAATTGTACGATTAGTATTCGTAAAGTTATTATAGATTGAAACATTGGGTTTTTATATAGGTTAAGGGGGTGGCCAGCTCAATTGGGTGGCCAAGTCAAGTGGGAGATGCGTTAAGCAATTACGTATAAATAAATACGAATAGCTATAAGTATTAAAAAAAATGAAAACCTAAAACTATTTAAAGACCTAAGCGATTTAATTTTAAAGGTTTAATAGAAAGATCTTAAATGTTAAGCAATTTTATATTAACTTAAAGTTAAAAAAGTTATAAACCTTTAATAGTTAATAAAAAAAAACCTAATTTATTATAAAAAAAAGGTTTATATTCCCTTTAAAAAGTCTTTTTATTTTTAATTTATTAAATTATATTATAATTAACTTATTATTAATTACTTTAATTAAACCTATACCTTAGAATTCCTATATTGTAAGTTCTTTTGGAAAGATATATAAAATAATATTTAAAAGTATATAAAATCCTATATAATTTACTTTAAAATAAAAGGAAAATATTATTAAAAATGTAATAAATTAAATATTTTATTAATTTTTAATTAACCTATATAAGAACTTTTTATAAACTTTATTATAAGTTTACTTAAAACCTTTTATAAGGGAAAATTAATTAACTTTATATTAATTATTATTAATAAATTTATTAAACTTATATATTTATTTTTAATTAATATTATTATTACTTTAATAAAACTAACTATTCTTTTTTATAATAAAATTAAATGCTTATATAATAGCTTATAAGGTATAGTTTTAAATAAAGGCATTATTTTTATAAGTTAATTTTAATTTAACCTTTATTATTATTTTAAAATAAAATAATGCCTTTTAATTATATTTTACCTTAGGATTAATAGTTAAATAAAATAGATAAATTAAATAATTAAAGGTTATTTATAATACTTTATTAATAAAAAATAAATAAATTAACCTTAATTTTTTCCCTAAGCGTTTTTTATTATAAATTTAACTATTAATTTAACAATTAAAAAATTACCTTTTAAAGCTTTATATAACTATATTCCTAAATTTAAATTATTTATTAAAGATAACTTTATATTAAAAGGAAACCTAATTATATAAAAACAATTTAATAAATTAAAAATAATTAAAAACGAAATAATAAAATAATAATAAATTATATTAAAATAATATATAAAATATTATAATAATAAATATAAATTAATAACCTTTAAGGTTAAAAATTTAATTATATTATTAATGAAAAATATAAAGTTTTATTATAAAAAGTTAATATTTAAATATATAAAACCTTTTAAAATTATAAATAAAGTTAATTTATAGGTATATTATATTAATTTCCTATTATAATATATTTATTTTTATTCCGTTTTTTAAATTTAATTAATTAAGCTTTAAACTATTAAATATAAATATAATCTACCTATATTAAACTTTAAAGATAATTTAAAAAAGTAAAAGGTTAAAGATATAATAAGTAAAATAATATATAATAATAATTAATATTATAAGGTTAAATAGAAAAGCTAGCCTTTTAAATATAATTAATAGGTATTATAATTTAATATTTTAACGTTAAAAGTAGTTAAAGATTTTAAAAAATAATAAAGTTGAAAATAAAAGAAGAAAATTAAAAATAATAAATTAGGTATAAATTAAAACTATATTTAATATTATTAATATAGGATATAAAATAAACTTAATAGGATTTTAAAAATTTTAAATTAATTATAAAAAAAATAAAATTAATTATTTTAATATAAAAGGAATTAAACTTTTACTTTTAAAGTTAAAAAATTATTATACTTTATTATTAAGCTATATATAAAATAAGGTTAAATTTAATAATTATTAAAATTAATAATATTATAAAGCTTTATTTAATTATAAATATTACCTTATTAAATATTATTATATTATTTAATTATAAAAGTTTTTACTTTTATTATAAATAATAAAATAAAGGTATATTATATAATTAAACCGGAATCCTATAAATATATATATAAAGAAATTGTTTAAAAGTAGCTTTAATATTAAGCTGCATTTTATTTAAGTTAAAAATATATATAAAAAGGGTATAAAGTAAAGTTATTTATAGCATTAATTAAAATAGGTATAATTATATTATAAATAGTAAATTATTACTTAATAATAATATAATTATAATTAAATAAATATTTTTATTTAAATATAAATATAATATTATTATAATATATAATAAGTTTAAAATAGGTATAAAATAGCTTTATACTTTTTTATTAATTTAATTATTAATTATATTAAAATAATTTTAATAAATTAAAAGGAAATATAAATATAATTTAATAAAATAATATTAAATAGCTATAATATTAATATAAAATTTAAATAAGTTAAATTAAAGTTTTATTTTATTATTATTTATAACTTAAATATTATTAATAATTATTTTAAGTATAAATACTTATTAATTTTATTTAAAAAGTTTAATAAGGTAAATAATTTTAAAAGCTATTATAAGTAAAAGCTAAATTTAAATAAATAATAATTTATATATAATATAAATATAAAAATATTAATAGGCTTATATATTTAATATACTTTAATATACTTATAATAATTAATAAAGTTAAATTTATTAAATAAATAACTAAATTTAAACAAAAAACTAAAGTTAAACTAATATATATATTTAATATACCTAATATAACTATAATATATTAATATAAATAATATAGCATTAATTTTTTATTTTTATAGATTATTTATATTTTTTCTAGGAGTTTTTACCCTTAACATCTAAATTACCTTTATAACTTAAATAATTATTAGGCGGAGGGCCGGCGGATTTACTATAGCTTTAGCCCAAACTACCCTTTCCGTTATTATTATCGTTATCGTTATTGCTTAATAGTAGTATTAGTGGAGCAAAAGGTATTAGTAGTATTAGTAATGTTAGCAGTAATAGTATAGGCGTTTTATCATTAACATACTCTTCGTTTACATCTTTATTATATTTAAATAGTGGTAGTAGTAGTAATACTTTACCCTTACCATTATAAGTAATATAATTATTCTTTGGAGCTTAAGCCTTACCCTTACCCTTTTTACCCTTAGGAAGTATAATTTAAATAATAATAATAATAATATAAATATAATAAAAAAATAAAGGGAAATAAGGTAGAAATAAAAGCGAAATAATAGGTTATTAATTAAAACTAATTTTTAAAATTAATAGTAGTTAAAAAAAAAAAAAAAAAGAAGAAAAAAAGTTAATAAATAATTAATAGGAATATATATATAAATTTTATTATAACGGTAATATATAATATATATAATTTATAAAATAAATATAAGCTTTATACTTATATACCTTTATAATAATAATACCCTATATAAATAAACTATATTAATATATTTATTATAATATTTTACATTATATATTTATATAATTAAACTTTTACTTTATATTTAATTAATAAATTAATTATATATTAGGTTAAAGATAACTTAATTAAAGAAAAAGGAATAATTATTATACTATAGTATCCTAAGGCCCCAAAATATATATACTTTATATATATTACGTACCCTTCCTATATATGCTTTAAAGGAGATTCTTCCCTTCTTTAAGCTTTAGTCTTATTAAATACCTATTATAAGACTAAAAAGATTTATAACATTATACCTAACCTTTAAGATTTAACCTACCCGTAACAGCATTTAAAAGAGGGGAATATTATTATAAAACTAAAGAAGCCTAATTTCCAATATACAACATAAACCAAGGAATATTATATATAACGCTAAAAAAGGGAATAAGGGGCGAAAACTAGAACTTCCCTCCTTATATAATAACAGAACAAATATATAAAACCACAGCTGGGCAATACTGTGACATGCTGAAAGGAAACTCAAAGATAAAGGTTTCTCTTCGGGATCTTTCATAATCGAGTGTTTCTATATTCACTACGACGGCGCTACTTTTGGAACAGTAAACAAAACTTTCCAGATTCGTCGATTCGACGGCGAAAGGAACATTACCACGTTGCCGGTCGTCCCACTCCAATGCTACGCAAATGAAAGTGAGATTCGCCAGAGATTGGTAGCACGAGGGAAGAAATTTGTTGAACTTTCGAATTCTGCGACCAGGGCCCACCGGATGTACAACGGTCTAACGTTAGATAAAATCCCAGAACAAGTCTGTCTCCTGATATTCAAAAATTTGCTCTTGAGGCTGACCCCTTTCTCAGGTGGAGTCTGGAATCGTCATTGATTTTGAACTTGCATTTACACACATGAAAGTCGAGAAACCGCTTTTCGGAATCCGAGACAAAGTAGTTGTCGACGATACAAACGAGTTGGAAGATGTTCGAAGTTTCAGTTCTATCTGTGAAAGGCCAGGCTGTTGTGGAAATGACATTACGTTCCATGACTATCAAGTTGATGAGATAGAGCGCGATCAGTTCATGAAAGCGCATGAATACCTCATAGACGACATATGGGAAAGTTCCGATCAGCTGAGCCTGGAACACATAATTCTCCTGCCCCCTTATGTATATGGGTTTGTTCTCAGATCGAGACGATGGGCCACCTTTGATATTGAATTTGTCAACGAAATCCCGTACAGCGACGAGGGTTGGAAAAATCTGGTAATCAAAAAATACATGAAAGACATTATTATTGCCCTTGTCCAAAATCACGAGCGGCAGTGGGGTTCTCAGACAATGGCTCAAGGTGCATTGCCATCAGTCGACCTGGTCCAGGGCAAGGGACAAGGCCTAACAATCCTACTCCACGGCCCACCTGGCGTTGGCAAAACGAGCACCGCAGAATGTGTGGCTGCACTTACCGGTCGCCCTCTACTCCCTATTACATGTGGCGATCTTGGCCATACAGCGGAAGCCGTGGAAGGTAATCTCGAAAATAGTTTTCGGCTCGCTCATAAATGGGGTTGTGTCTTATTATTCGACGAAGCTGAGTAGGTCCTTCTCCCAGTCGCTCATTGATCAAGATGAATTGACAAGTGACAACTCTTAGTGTCTTCATAAGCCAACGCAAGGTTGATGATGTGCAGCGAAATGCAATCGTATCGGGTTAGTTTATCTCTCGCAACCACAGTATAACTGCTGATTGAAGAGAACAGTGTTTCTAAGAAGTCTCGAGTACTACAGGGTGAGCTCACTCAGATGACATACTGATTCCTAGGTCTGATATTCATGTAGGGCATCTTGTTTTTGACAACGAATCGGGTTGGAAAGCTTGACCGCGCATTCAAGTCACGCATCCATCTTAGCCTACTGTACAAAGGGCTTAATAGAAAACGCACACTTCAAGTCTGGAAGAACAATCTCGAAAGAGTAGAGAAGGAATTTAATACAAAAGGGGAGGGGATAATCTGCCGACATAGAGAGATCCTCGAGTTCGCCGAGGGGCAGTACATGGAAAAAAAGGACTCGGACGACGGCCTCAGCACTTGGAACGGCAGGTGAGTGCACGAATTGGCCATGCATCTGTTTCCACTGCGCCGATCAACTGACTTGCCGGGTAGACAAATCCGCAATGCCTTCCAGACGGCCATCGCTATTGCTATGTATGATGCGAGTCAGGAACCCGGGAACGTGGTCCCTATTCTTGATGCATCACAGTTTGATAAAGTCGCACGAACCTCCAACGAGTTTGAGTATTATCTGGATCAAGTAACCTCGTATACTGATGATCAACTTGCTAGGGTGGAGATGGAAAGAAACGACAGGTACACCTCAATTAAGGCACGTACTGCTCTAAACCAGGGTGCATTTGATCTGAAAGATGGGAAGAAGGTGTGGAAGAAAAGGAAGAATGGCAGACGCAATAGGTCGGATATTGAGTTTGAAGACTCTGAAGAGGATTCAGAAGATAGTCCGGATAAAGATTCCGGAGATTCAAGCCACAGTTCTGAAGGTCAGTCAACAAAGAAGAAGCGCAGAGAGCGGTAGTGACCGGTATGTATTGTAATGTGCTTTCTAATATGAGATACGAGGAATGAATGATTACAATTGAGAAGGGGATTAATAAGATTCTAATTAATCTTGTGTTAGTGTCTTTACATGACCGGGCGAACTCACCATGGCGATGAAACTAGGTAACTTATCATGATGCTCACCATTTTCATCCCAATGATGCGACCGCGCGACCAGTGATGGAGGGCTGCGTTTCAGACACCTAGAGGATGATAGGGAACCGCCGAATACGTCTTCTACGACGAGACTTGGAGCTTTGAGATAGTCAATTGAATGATAATATGAGCACCTCCAAGATGCATAGGAACAATATACCCATTTGAACCGTCTGGATGGTGTTGAGAAGGAAGATAGAGTCACCGCAATTAGTATCTCCTCGGATATAAGCATAACTTCATTTCAGCTGATATTGACTCGATACACTATCGTCTAAACCGATATGCACTTACCCCGCTTCCCACCCAGCACTCAATGCGCCGCTGTGAATGGGGACGTAATCTTCAATGGGCCAGCCTCACTCATTCAAACTTCCAATACACTTCATGCTTAGCTTCTGCCGCCAGCCAAACCTAATCCTCTTGTATATTTAAGTACTAGTCAAATTAGCTTGCCTGATACCAAGCTTTGATACTCATCACAGTTATGTCTTTGGAAGCAAACCCGCCTTGAATCATCCTCGCAATCAACCACAGCTTCTCACCCGCACTTTCACTCATCTCAAAAGAATCGCTCATCGGAGAATATCTACCTAACATCGGCTCTCATTCTATCTATATCTCAAAACAACAAATTACAAATCTTCATCCAAATTAAAGTTAGAGCAAAGCGAAATCTTTCAAGATGGCGGACAAGCAGCAGAAATACCGCCAGGAGATCCAGCAGATGATGTACGTCTCAGGCGAGCAAGGCGAGGTCTCCCCAGAAACAACCGCCATGATCGAAGAGATCGTGCGGCAGCAAGTCATCGAGATGCTGCGCAACTGTACCGAGCTCGCCGCGCGCCGCGGCGCCCGCACCATCACCATCAACGACCTGATCTTCCAGATCCGCGACGACGCGCCGAAAGTATCGCGTCTGCGCACCTTCTTATCGTGGAAAGACGTGCGTAAGAGCGCGAAGGACTCGGACGAGAAGGGCGGCGACGCCGACCTGGGCGTAGCCGACGACGCGGCGGGCGGCGTGATGCCCGGGGGCGCGGGCCCGAGCGTCGAAGAGGCCGCCAAGAAGAACAAGAAGGCCAAGGTCAAGCTCCCCTGGGAACCCATGTCGTACTACAGCCAGGAGGTGCCCGAGTGCGAGGACGACGAGGACGAGGAGGAAGAAGAGATGAACTCGATCACCCTCGCGCGTCTCCAGAAGGCCGACGACCGCACGCGCGTGATGACGCGCGAGGAATACGTGACGTGGTCCGAGTACCGCCAAGCCTCCTTCACCTACCGCAAGGGCAAGCGGTTCCGGGAGTGGGCCGGGTTCGGCATCGTGACGGACAGCAAGCCGTCGGACGACATCGTCGACATCCTCGGCTTTCTGACCTTCGAGATGGTGCAGACGCTCACGGAAGAAGCCATCAAGATCAAAGAACACGAGGACCTGTGGAAAGAGCGCACGAGCGGCGGCGGTGAAAACGGCGCCACCACGAAGAAGAGGAAGCTGCAGCAGGGTTTGTTCGATCCGCCAAGCGAGGGTAAGACGCCCGTCGAGACGAGACATATCCAGGAGGCGTTTAGACGGCTCCAGGCCAGACCGAGGAAGTCGAGGGCAATGCTGAATGGCACGCGGTTACCGCAGCACACGGGGCTGAAACTCATCTAATCTGGTCTACCTACTTACTCTCTACGAGTGAGTATATGAGCGCGATCCCGGGTCTACACTTCAATCGACACTGTCATTCGCGACAAAAATCTAAGACGGGGTTTACAGCGTTTTTCCCTTTTCAAATGCATTATTTTCAATTATCGCGTTGGTTTACGTACGAATGGAACGAGCAATGGCGTTTAGGAGTTCCCACTACATCTTTCTTTTCTTTCAGTATAACTAGATAAAAATTAGTCCTTTTTTTGATTTATTTTTTTACGCTTAGTGGACGAAGCATGGGGTACGGAACAGAGGATGCGTTCAACTTGCCTGCTTGTGAAGGGAATTGAATACCTATTGGGCGCTGTATACAGTTTTGATTCATCTAGCTATCTCCTCAACATAATACTAAAGCTACACGTTGATGACAAAATTTTTTTCTTTCTTTCTCTTGCAAGCTTTACCCTACAGCGCTCGGAATGTCATTCATGGTCAGTGAGATATAGAGTATTGCGCCTAGGAGCGAATAGGCAGCGATGCGTTTGTTAGCTACAAGAGTTGCATCTCAATTGACCATCACGATATGCCCTACATGTCATCATATTCAGAGGAGTATTGGGAAAAGTCTCAATTTCGAGATACTTTCACTTGAGCTGTCATGATCTTTATTCTATCGAGTAACCTTCCTATCATGTCAATCATGCACGTGGATATCCCTGCCCACGAACAATTGTAATAGACCATTACCCAAGCCACGCTGGAATCAGAAGTTCCAGATGTCCATGATCCAATTTACGCTGTAACCCTAGCAATATGATATTTAAGAAATGTGGCACCCGCATGCGTGCAGAGACCTTGCCAAGCCTGGAGAGGGTGTTGAGAGTGTACTAGTATTGTTGCCAATTCATGCGCACGGTACGGATACGTTGATTAAGGAGTAGGCCATCGGGACCTAATTGCAAAACAACGTCGTCTACAGTTCCCCGGTCTTGCGGCTGTTGTTGGCAATGAGGATATACTGAGGGATCAGAATGGCGACCCAGACGAGGGTGAGAGTGACAATGATCAAGAAAACCTTGACATAGAGCTTAACGAGGCGAATCCAGGAAGCGCGCGAGAAGCTCTTCCAAGCATCGATCATGTTGACGTAGCCCTTGCCACCGACAATAGCAGGCTCGACCTTGCCGCCGAACGAGCGGTCGAAAGGTACAATGGTATCGTCGTCCTCGGGTAGGAATGACGCCTGGACACGAGTCAAGACGACCTGAGCGGGGATAACGAGGAAAACATTCAGCGTGAGGCTGATCAGCAGGACAACAATGCCCTTCCAGGCGTCGTCCTTGTTGTACTGAGGCAGGCTGTTGGGCTCCTTGGGGTTCCACATGGTCATATTGAGCACAGTGGAGATGTAACGCGGAAGGTAGGTAGCGAGCTCAGCAGCGAAGACGTATAGGGCGATAGGCGCAGCAGTGGCCTTGAAAGTGCGCGAGAACGGTGGAAGGCGCTGCCAGAAGTACTTGGGGCTCGGGGCCGAGATGACGATGTGTGTCCAGGCGGCATACGGCTGGGCAGCAGCAACGCCGACGAGGGGCGCGGCGATGAAGGAGGGGATGCCAACGCCGACGAAGATAGCGGCGATAACTGACATTGCCGTGGTGGTGAAGAGATAGGCGCCATAGCCACGGAAGAGAGATCGCCAGCCGGCGATGGCGTAGACGGCGCGGTGGGTGCTGCGGAGGGATGAAGTGACGGCGGGAGTCTCGGATACGGCGGCAGTGTCGGAGTTGGCGAATCCGTCTTCGGCGATGGACTGGCCATCTTCGTTGAGAGAAACGGGATCATAAGCCGGGGGCGACGGGTCCTCGACGATGGCGAGAGTTGGGTAGACGTGTTGGAAGGTGTACGTGGCCTGCGGGTTTCCTGTTAGCTCTCCATTCTGACGACTGGCATGATCTCGTCTTGTAGCTCGGTAGCCGTGACATGTCGAACTTGTGACGGGGCGCTACTACTTACAATCAAGAGCATAGGAAAGAAAATCAGGAAGTTGACAAAGAAGACGCCCCAAGCCCAGCCTGGCATCTCATAGCCGTCCATCGAGGCTTCGCCCCGCTTGTAGAGGGTTGTCGCGATATCGCGATACATGGTGACGGCTTGATTGGAATGCGTAGACAGTGAGTGGTGTTGGCGAAGTATACAGCAAAAATAGAACGAAATATAACGAAACAAGAGAAAATTGGAATGACAATTGATGAACTGCTAGATGAGCAATGTGTGTGTGGATTGACGAGAAGAAAAGAAAGGAAGAAAGAAGCAGAAAAATATGGGGATTCAAAGGAAGGATTGATGTCAGTCAGGAGAAGAGAAGAAACAGATCAGCTGTTGCCGGAGGCGCAGCGCGAAGCCAACTTGCGAAACGAAACCGAACTGAACCGAACCGAGATGGTTGCCTGCCTCATCATCACCCATCTCTGTCCATCTCTGTCCGTCAGCATGGTGGAAGGATCGTTAGCCCAGTCCGCGGGCCACTCCACCGTAGCATAGCGCCTTATCACCCGCTGGAGATATGGGCCGGGGGCCTGGAATAGCAGTGCTGTAGCCTATATCTGCCTGTAGATGCCTGTAGATACCACTGTAGCAGGCGAATAGAGAGCCCTGGATTCTGCCCTAGACAGTTCCAATGGAACCCAACCCCCTGGACCTGCAGCCTTCAGCCCTTTACAAAGTACATATAACAGTCTCAATACGACGCCTCCTTGGCAATTTGTCACATCTTCATTGGTTCGTCTATCAAGGTAGCATTGAGACAGAAGTCCCGGAGTCCTACGGGGTAAAAGGCAACCAGGTAAGAGACTTCGAGATGCTGAGGTCCCATCTCGTGTTGAAATACGGTACCCGTTGGGACTCCACTTCCGTCGCCAACCTTCTTACTTCCAGTAGAAGCGTTGGGGTCTTTAATTCGTAAATGACCAGTCAATTCGTAAAAACCCTGGTACTTAATTTTATATAGCAGCCACACCAAAATAGAAGTAGCTCTGCTTTAACCAATTACACTTTACATAACGATTGAAAAAGTTGAATACTGCAATAAGATTCAATTAGGCAACCACCTTCCAGCCCACTTACCCCACCCACTTCTATACCTTCACCTTCAACGCCTTCAACACCTTCACCTTCAACTTCAACACCTTCAACACCTTCAATCTTCAACTTCTACACCTTATTTTTCAATCGATAACGTCACTTAAGGCGGTAAGTATATTAACTATTGAAGAATTAACTAATTTAGCAGTTTCAGCAAGGGTGGTGATATTCTTGGCATTCATATAAGAAGTATGAATGTAGCATGCATTTGGATAAAACAGGAACTACTTCTGTTTTAGTGGGAATTGCACGTATTTGGAAGTACCACGTGATTTTTACGAATTGACTGGTCATTTACGAATTAAAGACCCCAACTCTTCTACTGGAAGTAAGAAGGTTGGCGACGGAAGTGGAGTCCCAACGGGTAGTGTTCACTGCACCAATGCGATATTCAACTCGATATTCCTATAAAACATATATATATGCTGAGGAGCTGGCTGTGAGATGCAATTAAATACCTTAGGCATATAGTGGAACCTACCAAAGTACCTGGGTCCAGCATGTACTTCGTATATCTGATTTGTCACACTCTCTGCATTCCGTGCCTTTAGACCCTCGTTTCTCATGAACACGAAGAAAACAGATGTTATAAACTTATTGCTACAAGGCTTCATTCAATAGAGCTGGCTTTCGAATCGCGACATAGGTCTATTCATACACTATACTATGTCAGGCATGCCGGCACCATCAATACCGAACCTCCTCACGCTCCGGGGTGCGAGGGGCGGTTCCGGAGCCCGGGGCCGAATGAGAGGCCGGGGTGGCTCCCAGTCGTCCGGTGCTGGTGCTGTTGCCACGTCGATGCCCAGCCACGACGCCACCATCCAGGGCACCGACACCGATGCCGCCGTGTCGCGCATGAGCGCCGTGGACCTGGGCTATCTAGAGGATCAGTACGCTCGCTTTTTCGTACAAGCACCTCCTCCTACCGGTGCCGCTGTGCGGAGACTACCCATCATAAACCGAGGTGAGATAACCCGGACAGCACCTAGACCTGACAGGGGGTAGTGCTGAGGCTGTGAGTAGGGACGTATACTCGTACCACGGCGCTTGACAACTTGATTGGGGCCTTCTTATCCGCTACCGAGGGCCAGGACCGACAGGTCGTTTCCCTTGGCGCCGGGACAGACACGCGGCCCTTCCGGCTGTTCAAGGACAAGAACTACGCTAAACTCATTTACCATGAGGTGGACTTTCCCACCGTTACCGACAGGAAGTGCCATCTGACTAAAGCTATACCTGCGTTAAGAGCTGTGATACCGAAAGCCGATGTCATAGATCAGACTCATACGTGGCGGGATGAGGAGGTTCCAAATGCCAGTCAATATTGGTGCCACGGGCTCGATCTACGAGATCTATCGAAGCCGGGCGAGACGCCGACGGAGGTACCAGGACTTCAGAAAGATCTTCCGACATTACTCATCTCCGAGTGCTGTCTATGCTATCTAGAGACGACAGAGGCGTCGAAGGTGATGCAGTACTTCACGGACCGAATACCACGTCTTGCACTAGTCATATACGAACCAATCCATCCCAACGATCCTTTTGGCAAGCAGATGGTGTCTAACCTCGCGGCTCGTCGCATCCGGATGCCTACTCTTGAGAAATTTACCAGTACTAACGAGCAAGAAGCCCGGTTGCGAGACGCGGGCTTCAGCTCTGTGCACAGTTTAACGATTGAACGTATATGGGAGGATTGGGTCTCCTCGGAGGAGAAAGAGCGGGTAGATGCTCTGGAGGGTCTAGACGAGGTCGAGGAGTGGAATCTCTTGGCGGACCATTATTCTGTGTCTTGGGGTTGGAGAGGGATTACCTTGGATGGCTGGAGATTGGGTTCGAGTTAAGGCGAGATAAATCGGCCCTGGTGAGAGGTATTCTCGTAAAGCCGCCTGTGACTAATCAACCTACTCCATAAAATCCTGCATTCGGCCGAGGGGTTGTTTGCTATCTAGGTATGTATGTAGGATGGGGTACGTCAGCTACAACTAAGGTACAAATATATTGTGATTGGCACCGGGCGCGGTATAAAACCGCTTTTAGATACTACCCCTTTACCGAATAGACACTAGAAACTAACAAGCACAACTTGTTATTCTTTTGTTGTTGTCTGATGTGCGGCGTCTCGAGTAAATGGAGTGAATTTCTTCTATCTAAATCCCCGCCATTGCCGATCTAGGAAATCCACCTATAGAGTCTACGCCAGGGATGAGCTTCATCCACACATCCTTAGCAATCATCGACGCACGCCTCGGTTTCCATTCACACCTGTCCTAATCATGGGAATAACACATATCCTAGATCTTCCCACTGAGCTTTTCACCAAGATCCTCGTCTTCTCCATCCTTGCGCGCAGTCTCAGTCGTCAACATCCGGACCGGGGCGTGGCCAGGGCGCTGAGACTGAAGCTCGTCTCTAGTAGGCCCCCTTTATCCATATAAACAAGGTCAATATGACTGACACATTCTATAGAAGCTTTCTACCATGCATTTCAGCCGGCTTTGTTCGAGTCTCGGGTTTTGGATGATTTTGGAAGCGGCGAAAGATTGGCGCCCTGGCCTATCAGACGGCATTACGGCGCGGATCAGCTATGGCAGTCTTATCTGGTCTTCAGGGTGAACAACGCAGTGGATCGCAACGTGGGCGGGTTCGTTATGATCCGGGAAACGGCCAGGGAACTATGTAAACTGACTGGTGCACAATATGATGAGACCGTCGCTGGCCTTTGCGGGCTCGTTCTAGATTCAAAGGACATATGCCCGAGGCTATTCGAGGACTGGGGCGACATGTTTCGCAGAAGAGTACCCGCCACTCATCCTCGTTTGAATCTCTTAAGCGCAGCAGCATATTTTGGTCACCTTGATCTCGCTAAACAACTGTTAGAAGATGGCTGCTGTCCCACTCACGACCAACTGTTCCCATGCGCAATGCACCTGGCGGCATTTGCTGGCCACACAGAGATAGTCCTTCTATGTCAGGAGTATCTACCCCCTCTTGATGAAGAGTACACTGGGAATGCATTTACAGACTGGAAGGTGAACACAGGCCTCATAGCCGTCGACGGGGCTGCTCTACGTGGCGATGTAGATATGCTGCGCATACTTATTTCTCCGCCTCCTCGTCCCGGACTTCGAGAGGACCGCTTCACCGGCCTGGATCTCTTCGACGACGTAAACTACAACAGAAACGGGCGCCAAGTACTTGCCAATGCACTCTTGATGACACGGAGCTGGGATGTACTGCAATACCTCAAATCAATCCTGTACTCCCTGTTTCCCCTAGATGCCGCACGACTGCTTACGGAAAATGCGCACAGGGGAAACAAGGAAATAGTGCAACACATTCTGGATAGCGAATGGTTGCTTACGGAAGATATAAACCGCCTCACAATCGACCCGTTGACATTCGCAACCTGGGGTTATCACGAAGACATAGTCGAGCTACTCCTCGAACGCGGCATGGACCCGAATGAATTCAACCACATCAACCGGGCTACTCCTCTCACCGCCGCCGCTGGTGTGGGAAGTATGAGGATGCTTCGCAAGCTGATGGAACGCGGGGCAAACTGCGACGGAGACAAAAGGCAGCAAATGGAGATGTTGAGGTGCGCGCTGTTGCTAGAGCACACAGAGATGGTGAACTTCTTTTACGATCAGGGCCTGCTTGGTAGGAAGTGTCCCGAGTTAATACGTAAGCGGATCGAAGCAGTAGGCTTGGAGTCTATGATGGAGCTCCTCAAGAAATGGGGATGAGGAACACTTCGGCTTTTGTGTTAAACATGTGGGCTACAGGCAGAGTAATTCCAGTCTATTTAAACGGGGCTTTGGATATCTCATTTGAATTCATATCTATCCGCATCACCTCCATCGTTTGGTACTGTCTTGACGAGCTACCTAATCAGACATACCAAATTTATATCTATATCTATTTGGTTTAGGTACTACAACAATGAATAGAATACCTAATCCTAGAATAGTGTTTACTACACATGTTAATGTGTGAATGTCAAAGTCACCGCATGCTTACTATCATATCAATACCAGGTTTCGTTCTCCATGAGGTATGAAAACTGTTATATTATAGTGGACAAACAAGTGGAATGTCCTACAACTACAGATCTAAGTGTGGGACCGACTGTTCAATACTGAAGGCACATATTTTCATTTTCAAAGGCAGTCTAAGACTAAACAAAACTTGTTTTTTTTATTGTTTTCTATAGAAATGGTAAGCTAACAACGAGATGAGGAAATCTTGAGGAATAATAAGGCTCGATATCTACTTTGTACTGCACTTGATAGACGTTGCGCTTTTAAGTCTTAAATTTGCTCCGGGAAGCGCGCAAAGGTGTGGTGCAGTCTATCAAACAGGACCCCGGTAGGAGCGTGAGGATGAATAGGGTCAGCAAAGGCGTGGCGCAAGAGAGAAACGAACTGCTTGCCGCGTGCCACGACATCCTGCGTGTTTGCCAAGACCTGGACACCTTCATGTTCCCTCAAGTCTAGCTGTTCTGGAGACACGCCGCACGGCCTGTGAATGTCAAGCAAACGGTCTTTGGTTACCATAACGAGGGTGACGAGAGTCGAGTTGAAGGCCATGGCCCGGTGAAAGCTCAAAGTCATGTCCGAGTATGCTCTATCAAAGGCCACGGGCCTCGGCCCAATTCGACGAAGCTCTCTCGACATTTCTAATAGATCATCGCCGATTGAACTAACTGCCTTAAACAGGTCGCCAAGGTCGTCAATTAGTTGGATGATTCTGGATAATCTGCTGCCCGAAGATCTGCTGCCCGAAGCTCTACTGTCCGAAGCTCTTCTGTCCGAAGCTCTGCTGCCCGAAGATCTACTGTCTGAAGTTCTGCTGTCTGAAGTTCTGCTGTCTGAAGTTCTGCTGTCCGAAGTTCTGCTCGATCCAGCTCTGGGTCGACTGCCACGTGATCGGTGCCCTTTTGTTTCACTTGAACTTGACGCTGATGGCCTTGAATTTTTTCTTTGCTGGCGATCATATTCCTTACGCTTTTTTGCGTCAGTCAGAATGTCACGTGCGTTGGTTATTTCAGCAAACTTTTCATTGTTACGCCGTTCGCGAGCTTCTTTTTCTGCCTTTGTCTCCGCGCGGCCGGTCGGGATTGTTGATATGTTCGCTTTGTCCGGGTGAAATATTCTTGAGAGCTTTCTGAAAGCTTTCTCAATAGCAGCAACGTCAGCGTCAGTTGGGACTTCAAGAATCTCGTATAGATTCATCTTGTCGCTGATTAATAATTGATGAGTATTGTAATTGTTGACGGGAATGTTTATCAAATTTAAGGGCTCATTGATGACAGTGCTCGCTAGTGATCGGGTTGTGGCGATAATGGAAGATTGGAAACGTAAAGGTTCACGTATTTATATTTTTTTGAGAAAAATGATGAACGAAGTCTTTGTATTAAACAGTAGACATGTTAGCTCACCATTGTATTCATAGGTTAGAAATCAACAGTTGTGATGAAAGAAATGACTTGAAAGACGATTCTGCTGTTCCACAGTTCATCATCACGGCTAGGGAAGAGATGATGTGGTCGGTTACTCAAAGATCTCGAGTAATTTGTAAAGGGAAGGAAAAGCTTGTAGTAATAACGCCACATTATTAGGGAGTGTTTCAAGGTAATCCGAATCCAGTCACTAACCGAATAAGACTGATTGCTTGATTGCTCAGAGAGTGATCGCTTGGTGTCAAACAAGGGTTTTTTTTTCGAAGCCTCCAATAATAGATCGTCAAAAATACCACAAATAAACTTTCTGGCAACTCAGGGCAAGGGACACAATAACTCGAGGAGTAAAACGACGATCTGGCTCTTTTCCTTCTCAGGAATCCAGGTTGGCGCCCCCCCAGATGAAACAGTCCGAGTTCAATCCAGAGTGATCAGATTGGATGAAGATAAGTAGGTCAAGGAGGTGGATAGTCTAGCAGGAGGCTAGATTATTATCTTTCTTGCCTATCTTATATACTATCTAATGAGCTATCAACTCGATCTAGAGACAGAGGAATGAAGAGATGCCATGTATATCGTCAAAAGGAGACTAAATTCCTTCAAGATTCAGACCCTTTTGACTTTGGGAGTCTTACTGTAGATCGCGTACTATGCTCCTGACAATCACCGAGTGCCAGATCAGAGGTGCCACGATCTTGAGACTACATACAAAGAGACTCTCTGTATAAAGTCCTAACCTGGGCCTGAAAGCTTCTGTGGGACCCTCGTCCAACAACATGTATCAATACAGTACCCCATGGTTGCAGTTCTCATAGAAGGCAATAACTTTAATCGTGGTGGCTATCATATTCAAATACAGAGCAAAGCTATTAGCATGGCGGTATGAAGCCACTGAGTTTTACTGTAGCTTTCCATACAGTGAAGTGAAGTACATACTATTTCGCTAGGCATGCTCTCCTGACACTTAATTATAATCTCAATTCCCTGGAACATAACTTCCACTCTGTCGTAGTCAACCTTACATCGAGCGCGTTATTATAACTGCCAGGACCTAGTATGCTGGCTAATGACTTCTATTGTTGCGCAAGGGTCCCTCCTACCTTCTTGCGGACAAAGCTGAAGCTATATACAGGAGGGGTCTCTTTGTTGCCTTGTAGCTTTGTGACAATAACGCTAGGTTCTCGGATCACAACTTCTCATGCAGAATAAGAATGGCTAGTGGAAAGACTGACACGGGGTGTAATGTCGTGTTGTGAAGCTACTTGACTCTAATGGAGAACACAGTAACCAAAGCTACCGCGAAGAGTATGGTAGCAAATAGATACGGTAGCCCGAACCATGACTCTCCCAAGCTTAGGCCCCAGCGAAATGCCCACGCCGTCCCTGGTCCTGCCAGAAGACTGCCTATACCTTCTAAGACAGATATAATTGCGTACAGGCGTGCGATATCGCTATTCTGACTCTCATGATGCGATTCAACTAAGAGTGTCACAAGACTGCGAATAATGGGCGGGAAACCTGTTCCAAATGTATACACAACAAGTCCTTGACGAGTGTTAGCAATCTGTGCCGTTTAAGATCACTTTATGATAAAGCTTTTCCTTACCAATTATAAAAAAGGTAGCAGTAGCGGCTACCGCGATGATAAAGACTCCAATCGTCATTAACACGATGCTTACTTGTCCGATCCATAGATCCCGAGTGGCTGTATGGGTGTTTGAAAGAACGAAGTTGATGACAAGGGGTAAAATCACGGTGAATAAAAGGATGTTTACGCCTGCGCGCACAGACAAGAGTAGCCCGGCCTATTAAATGGTTAGCAAGGAGAAGTGTGAGGAACACGGCTGGTAACGCGTACTTGTGACAATCTCCATTTGTATCGTTTCGAGACGTACTGAAAAAGGACGGTGCTGGATTGGCGGCCGAATTTTGAGATTAAGAAAGTGAAAATCAACGCTGCAACAGTCTTATCGCGAGTGGCAAATGCAAATGAGTCTTTGACTTGCTGGATCCATGTCCTGTTCGTCGTAGATTCATTGAGCGACGATAATCTAACGGATGTACTCGAACTATCTAGAGAGTCGGTTTCCATCTCGGGACTGGCGACTGGTAGAGTTTCTGGCATGAGGGATGCCATTGCCGTAGCCAAAACCTGGAACCCTAGAGCAACCAGCAATGGAATCCATACATCCCTCTCCATAAGAAGATAGGTAAAGGGGGGTACGAAACATTCAGCGATGAGCTCAGCGCAGAAACGATAGAAAAACACGGTAGTTCTGCTCTTGGGGATCTAGCCGTTAGTCTTATAGTCATGCTTATAAACAACTAGGTATTGAGGCTGTCTATAACAACGAGGTATCGCGAAGGGGTGATCATACCTGAGATCCGGTGGTACAACATCAGCAACGATAGTCGTGAGCATTGTAGTCGCTATGGACGAGCCACCACCAATCAAAAGGAAAATGGACGAGAGCCATACATATTGTAGAGGCAACTGCAATACCCCAATCTGTGATTTCAATTAGCTGATACAATATTTCAAAATGAGGCGAGGATTAAAATTAACGACTTACGAAAAACAGGGTAGAAACCCACGTCATGGTATAGCCAATCATAGCCGTAAACAATATCCATCTGCGCCCATACCTATCGGCAAGGTATCCAAAAGGCAGTGGCAAGATGATTGCGGGTATACTGTCAAAGAATAACTGCCAGCCCAAGATGGAAGTAACTTCATCTTGCACGCGATTGACTTTGCATAGGTATTCAGGAACGGAACCATCGGGTTGGATGACGGATGGGTCGTGCTCTAGATAATAGCGTGTACAGGATACCGACTCAAATAGGCGGACTCGTGGAGCGATAAAGAGATACTCTCCAATCTCAGCCACAATGGCGATGGCAATACCGAAGAGAACAACATAAATCCAGGGCCATGTACAACGCGTTTGGTGCGTTGGAGCGAGTGGAGGTTTCACAGCATTGCCCGTCGATGGGCCAGGTGATAGAAGCGGCTCGGTTTCGTCACTTCCATTCTGTTGGTGCTGGCCCAGCCCTTGGGCTTGCTCAAGCATTTCAGTCCGTGCCGAATAACAATTCTGCCCTGTTAGAGCCGATATGCAGTGGTAATAATCCTTTGTGCTCTGACTATCTCATATGATGGAGGCTCTTCAGTTTTGGGGTGTAAGATAGCATGAGTTATTGGAAACTTGGAGGTTAGAAGCGCTAGAATATCCTAACGTCCCGATTCCGAAACTTGAATTACTTAGCAGGTCCTACTGTTAGGGAAAACTTGCATTAGTGGCTTACTTAAGTAAGTAAGCACTTACTGAAAGCAGTATGATGCGCTGGAGAACCGGCTTTCTACATGAAGAACAATGGAAATTGAACGAGAAATAGCAATATCGGAGATGAGGGAAAAGCAATTAGAAGTTTACAAAAATAAGAGGGACTCTTATAAAACGATTGTGCCCAAGTATCCCAATAGGATCGGGTTGCCTTTGAATCCGACAAGTCAAACTCATTTAAAAAAAAAAGGCCTTATCGCCTAATGTACATCTATGACGTGATACGCCGTATTCCCTGCTTGACTCGCGACATTTGGATAATCGACTTCCGTAAAAGGCAATATCCCGATTCCGAACGATACCCCGACCAGGATTCCGTCTCCTCAGGGCCCAGAGGGTACCGTTCTGACCGCTGATCAGTCAGCCCTCATAGCCACAGACAAAGATCTTGTTGATGCGTGTAATAGACCGTTGTCTACAGAGTATATCCATATATAGGGTGCATCGCTCGTGAAAGAGGTGTTTCTTCTTGTTCATTGACTTACGCTTCTATATTCTATATAGGACTCGTTTAGATCATACACAGTCTAAGTACACTTAGATGGGTCATGAAAACATGACATACGCTGTTGGCGTCTTCCGCCTCCTCTCATCATCAATTCAGTGGTAAAGCACCACTTATCGGAGACCTTAAGCACCACAACCTTTCCTAGATGTCACACTTAGGTGGAGAACACAATAACCATTAACCTAGACCTTGTAGGTCTAAACGGCGTCGCTTTGCAATGCAGGACTAGATACTCCCGGTCCCAGATTGTTTTCGCTTGTTCCCGAAAATGCTCGTCGTACTCAATTACACAGTCTTTGGTGAGGCAGAGTCGAAGTACATCTATATGGTTATCTAGAAGTGTAGGCATCACAAGGAGCTTGCGTATGTACTTATCGCTTCTCATACTCAAGCTGTTGTAGTGCCTCTCGAAGTCACAAATGTTTCAATCCGGTGAGCTCTGAATATGCTTTCAATTGGAGCCGGATCTAATTCATTATCTGGATAACATAGTTTCTTCAATTCGTAGAGAAAAATCTAGAGTCAATGTCCCTTTAGACTCTCGGAATTCTCCAGGGATATGCTGCACCAAGTAAGCGGATAGGTCATCAGGACGCAGTTGATAGTTGTCTCTAATGATGTTCTTGATATCGTCTTCATGGGTCACGCCGGCCAAATAAGCCTCAGAGCAACTTGCTCTGAGCAAGTTAGTAATTATTACATCTCGTCGTTGATTCTGCTGTGTTACTTCGCAGTGGCAGCGTCCACGAAATACAGCTATGAGGGTCTTATGATTCCCTACAAAGAACGTAGGAAGATGCTGCGGAGATAAGCGCTTTTCCATCTGTGCAAAGCGTTGTCTGGGGGCGCTGATGATCATGGACGTAATTGAGCCCGTTAACGTGAAAGACCTAGGATAAGTCTAAACGGAGTCAGAGTTAGCCTATGCGCCGAGCCTCAGGGAATCAAGTGCTCAAGAATTATCTGATCCTGCAAGAGTAATCACCCCTCAGGACATGGATGTGCAACACTGATAGAGAAGTTCCAAGTTATCTTGCTATTTCAGGAACAGACTATAAACGTGCCGAGAACTACCCGCTAAGATAAGAAGTGCAGTGCTAGGTCCCACAAGACCCAACAGATCTGGAACTTTTTATTGACCTTTGCGGATCTTGACCTCTTGGCATGATGGGGAAAGCACATGGGAAACAGGATACCCCTGAGCAGCTCGAAAGCAGACAGACCCTTACCGAATAGCAAACAAGAGGATGAAAGGACGATATAAAATGAATACTGCGAGAAGAGACAGGTATGTAATGGGGGATTTAGGCAACAGGATAGTAGACTATTTAGAGGTAACCAACATAAGAAACCCTCAAACAGACCTACCCAGTGATCAAGTCCGGGCTACATACATACTATGTATACAGTAAAGAGTGATAATTGCAGGGCTCTAACGCGAAGTTTCGTTGCTTACCCGAACAAGCGAGTGTAGTGGCTCGTTAATACTTGGCTCAACTGGGTGCAACCACGCCTCTGGGGCGCATTAGTGATTACTTAGGTGGTTAAGCCTACCGGCCAAGCTGGACCGAGATTTACCATATAAGCTTATTTTGTGGAGTATATAAAACACAATATACAGTACACATGACAAGGGATACAGCATTGGTCTTATGAGCTGATCGAGTCACGCATCAACTTTCAATTTGCTATAGGCCATTGCCAAACCTACTATGACACACGTCCCTTCTCAAAATATGACGTATTGAAAATTTCCAATAAAATGTATCAAAGAACGGCGAAAACGAGGTACCAAGGAACTGGGCGTATGTGTATACCTACTTACATGTAGAAAACATTCAATGGGGGGGGCTGATGCCATGTGCACGATGTAACCTCCACGCTTGATGGAACAATCTTCATAGTCAAGAGCCAATCAATAGGTTGTGTCTCTAATGCAAAAGGCAGGGTCTCAATAGGCCCATCACGCAACCCATTCTTCACTGCACTCTTTAGGAACACACCACTCAGATGTGACCTCCGCCCACCTTCCTTACCACTTTACTAACCCATGTTTATCATCTGCTTTACTTGAGTAGCTCGAGGAGGTAACAGTTTACTAAGCAGATCCTAGTTAGCTTTTGAGACTTTACTACCGTACTTTGGACACAAGGAGTTGCTATCATAGGTAGTCTACTAAGTAGGTATTAATGCCTCGCCGCAATGCCTACATACCCAAGCAGGTATGTATCCATTTTGCACGTTCTATCGACCGACTGTAGGTACCCATGTACATGGTGTAGGCTGAGATATACAACTACGGTAAGTTACTGTACCTCTAACTCGGGACATCATAAACGGCAAGGGCTGGGAAATAACCTAGTTGATGGCTGGGCAGATAGAACAAACCATGCCCCTACCAACATGGCAATATCATAGCTGCTCGCACATATTATACGAATAGGCTATTAGCATTATGCGCCCAAAAATATCCTCGAAACAGCGTCAACCACGCCTCCAACCTAGCGAAGATAGTCACCCTCCGAAGATCAAAGACCAGATGTGAGCTAACAGGGGTGGCTCAATCTATGCAAAGTAGATAGCAATAACAATCGCGGTCTTTCGATCATCCCCACCGAAACTCTTTATGTATAAATGTAGGAATTTCAACCTATAACTGTTTCTCAACAAGGTTATACCATTCTGACCACACTCGGGCGTACCATTCCCCTAGATTATAACTCTTGAACAGACAAACAACATGCACGGCATCAAGCCCTTCATTGCCTTCGCCGCTCTTGCAGGCACATCTCTGGCTCAAAAGTCAGACAAGGAGTTCTGTGACGCATTTTTTACTTCTTTTCTTTCTGTCATCCTGGAATCCGATGCCCCAACGCCTACGGGAATTGCCTCCTGGGTTGCCGCGCAAACGCCTGTAACCACTGCTCCGCCCATCAGCGTCCTTGATTTCGCAAGCCACGCGCAAGAGCTTTGCCATCTCGCAACCGAACTCCCTTCGTCTCTATTGCCCGAGTTCCAAACCTATGCCGCGGATCTCTTGAGCTGGGGGAAGGAGTTTAGCAGCGAGCACGTAGCATACGTTACGGACTGCGCTCCGGAAAGCGAGGTTGCCAGCAGAAGCAGCTACCTCGAATACGTCTTCACAGCAACGGGCAACATTTGCACTTATACGCCTGCTCCCGGCAGTACATCAGGCGGCAGCTACCCAACTGTCACTCCCACTCCTACGAGCTACTCAGGCTCTAACAGCTCCACCACATGGATTGTCACGGCCGCTGCCGCCAAGCCCACTGGCGCTTGCTTGGGCGCCGCTGCCATGGGCGGTATTATTCTTGGTGCTGCGGCTCTACTTTAGACGGATTATAAGGGCATGGCCACTCTGTTTGAGACCCTCATTAGCTCGTAGAGAGGTCACCGAACTCTTCAGCTTGGGGCTCAGATTTAAACACTGTAGGCTTTCAAACTTGGATGGGATAATAGTGGATTTAGAACCGTATGGGTTGGGAAAACTTGGTAAATCGTTGGAGCTTCGACAACGTGCCAATCATTTACACTCGTTGTATTTCTTGGCTTTGATTGCATGCTAATCCAAAGTCGGTTGACCGTTTATATTTCCGTTGGCCTTGAATTCATAGGATTGATACATACGTTATTAATAAAAGAGAATGATATCCAGAGTCCCCCCATTCTACCTCCGACACACGCTGAAGTACGCATTTGGTATACAAGTCTCCGTCAACCATTCAGTCGGGTCTTACGTTTGTCAACGTGAAAAATAAAAGTTCTTGCTGAGTTGAGATACATTGACAGACTTCAAGGTCGTGAAGACCGATATGACAGGATTCTATAGTCTGGATTAATTAATTAGCTAGAAACCTTCCTAGGCGAGAGACATCGAACTCCGGGGTCATGAAAGATACGTTTGCGTGAGTAAAGTAATTGTCAGGGGATGTTTTGATTTTTAATCACCGTTTATTCAATGCTTATGAAGACCTATAAAGTTTCTATCGTACCTTTTGAACCCCTATTCCCTCCTTTGAAAGCTTTTCCACGTCAACTTCGGCTCAAGAGTTAACTGAACACACTAGACCTTTATCTTGAACTTATCGTAGCTCAATAATCATGCAGTAAATGTGCCCCAGAATTCGAATAAATACAGATAATAAGAACTTCAGGACCTTCCGCGCATTTTGGAGGAGAGGGGGTTGGGATGTTGTTTCTACGGATACTAGGCAAGACCGTATAGTGGTTTGACGTGGGTCGGCACAATCTGTCACACATCGATTTGAAGCCGACGGGTAAAAAATGAAGTGTGTTTAATGATATATACGCCATGCCCTTCTTGAATGACTCTAATTTTGATACAAATACACCACAGATATATGATAATCACATAGATAACGATCATAATCTGGAAGAGGTGTGATAAATTCTAGGAAATCTACACAGAAAGCCGATAGTGACCTCATCAGACCGTCAACATCTGCTCCACTCTCTTCCCAACCGTCGTGCTCCAGCGGTCTATATGCTTACACCACCAGTTCGAGAGGTATAGTGACACACTCAACAAAGTGATGTAGCCCACAACATAGCCGTTCTGTCGGCCAAGCCGCTCGAAGAGCCTCGGCATAATCCAGAACCCAAGACTATGCAAAACGGGTCCGTGCATTAAATAGAACGAGAAACTGATTCTTCCCAGGTACTGCGGTATCCGACTCTCTAATAAGCGGCACAGAAGAGAGCTGCGCAAGACGCAGGGGATGAGCATCATGGCGCCGATGGCCTCGTAGAATGACCAGCCCGCGATGGCTGAATAGTAGCGTGGAAGCAAGTAGGCGAGGAACGTGAAACCCGGAGTGTACTCGGCGGCGGCGTCAGGGTATGACAAGAGGTAAAGAGCCAGTACCAAAGTCGTCCATCGTGTTAGCACACCCATGCAGGTTCGTCGGTGCGGCCTGGCTCTGCTTTTTATGGAGCTATCCGTAACAGGGGGTTGGAGTGGTGTGTCGCCGGGGCTCGCCGACGAAAGCCTAACATCCATGTCCGAAAGCAGAGTACCGCCCATGAAAGTAGCGACATCCCATCGCCCGAACACCAAACTATATGCGGAGAGGAATCCTGCGAGCATTAGGCGCCATTTTGCTTTGATAGCAGCCGTGCCCAGTAAGAAAATATAGACGATCATGGACCCGCGGAATTCCATCGGAATTGTGAACGTATGGGGGTCGTAGCGCGGATGATACGGGTTGAAGGTGAAAACATTGGCCCACTCGCCGTACACACGGGTAAAGTTTGCCAGCGCATACGTCATGTTATCGTGTATGAGAGGGTGTTCTTCCCACATGCCTCCGTACTGAACCCATCTCGCGGGGATACCGCAGGTGATGTTCGTGCCGTTGACGATATCTAACGGTGCAGGGCCTTCATACGGTGAGATATAGTCGTGGTTTTCAAATCTTGTCAATCGGGTAGTGTCGTTCAAGACACGTGCATATCTCTTCTCAAAGAGATGCGCATTGTCATACACGCTTGTAGGGCCGGCTAGCTCTGATGTCGAGTTGACGCAGAGGCCTACGGTCGCATTTCCCAAAGGCAAAGGGTTCTGCCACCCCATGTAGTCGACCAGCCCCGTCACTCCGACGACGAGTTCGGTGTGGTTGTAACAACGGGCGCCAATTGTGACATTGGTCACGGTGCCGTTGATGTAGGCCGAATCCGGACCTTGGTAAATGGCCTCATTGGATTTGAAAACGCCCGCCTGGGCCAATAGAGCCACCAAGAACATGCTGATGGTGGGCGGAATAAAAAGACGAAAGGCACGCCTGAAGACAGCCGAGGCAAGACGCTGGTAGGCAGCTTCTAATCGCCTCTGGTGTATCAGTCTCAGCACATGTCGGCTGACGACATAGCCAGAAATGGCGAAGAATATAGCGACCATGGGGCGACCGCGCTGCCATAAGCAGAGAATGGGTAGCGAGGTCCATTCCCAGTACGGCTCAGGGGCCTGAGGAAGCATGGCACCGTAGCCCAACATGATGGAGGGCGTCCATGGCCACAGGAAATGGTAATTGAAAACTAGGAGGCACGCGATGCCGCGCAATCCATCGAGACTTCTGATGTTATCCCCGTTCAGCCTGCTGCGTGGGAGCGATGCATCGTGCCCTTCCTCTCGATTGCGGACATAGTCTCCGGAGAGGCGCTTCTCTGAACGCTTCTTTCCCGCCTGCGGAGAGCCGAACCATGACATGGTTGGCTCGGTGAAAAACTTTGATCTCTCTGGGCTGCGACAACCTATGTAGCACGTCTGAAGCTACTCTCCCCAGTAATAATCAAATGCGCTGGAGCGAAGGTCATGCGACAAACCAGCCAGATGAAGACGTCAAAGCCTGCGATGCCGCTGGACGTCCGAGATAGTGTACACGTAATACTGCGGTTGTTCTGCTTGATGAACGAGCGAATGGAGTTTAGTCTCGTAAATTACCGGGCCCATAAGATCAGGGGATCACAGCCACCCTGGCCCGGTTTTAAACATGATCAGTGCTGATCGGCGGGATTGGAGATGCTGATCAGCTCTCTCGCCCCGTTCCGAGCGAATTCCGCATAGGATGATGCCCACCCACCACTTGTGCAATCAAGAGGGATTCAGGCATAACAGTTGATGGGCTTTTCCAGGCACAAGTAGGCACAGACAGGCACAAACACGGCTTGCAGCAAGCCTGTGACGGCGATGATCTGATCCCTCACAGTAGAGGCCGTTTCAGCTACATTTCACTAAGGGCTCTAGACAAGGGCTTGCAGCCAATTAGAGGAGAGACCTGAATAGCTTTAGTAGATAGTTTACTGAACTGACTGTCTATTCTCTTGGCAGAATTCTTCTAGACGAACTCAAGACGACCTCTGAAGTGTGACGTAATGTGTCCACGGATAATTACCTAGCTAAACGAAGCTATTGACCGAACACAGCAAATTAACGACACTGGTGCACACTGCGCCGTATATACCGGCGTAAAAGCCTCTGAGTTCTCCTCTAAAGATGAGAATTCTTATAAAAATAAGTGCCGAGCATATCTACTATAGCGCCCTGTCACATGTGCCACTCAACAAGCTTTGCGCCATTCGATTAGGTGAGGATTTGAGAAATCAATCGATTGTACAGATTAGTAAATTTGAACAGCCGATACGAAGTGCTCTATTGGGTCGTCGTGGAAGTCTTGCCGACGCTCCTTGCTCCGACTGCCTTGTCGATATCTGTCACAGCACCATGATACAGTGAGCGCAGGCCGGTAGGTTTCCAAGATGGCATTATTGTTCTATCTTTTGGTGGTCTCGTCGCATATTGTTGCATTTCTGGTCTGTGACAACTTCTTATTCATCACGGACTGGGAATCTGACCTTAAATACTATATCTACCTAGGTGTATTGAAGTTGATACAGCATTGGACAACGCTAGTTTAAGGAATAATTTACATATGTCTCGACCCAACTCAGGCTCCACGCGACAAGAGAGGTTTCAATATATATCTGTCCACCTTAAATTGATCTATAAGGGTCTGCCCTTCATCAGAAGCAGCTGATACGTTGGCTCCGTGATCTATAAGTAGTTGCGCTAATTCCGCTGTTTCCGTAAAACCCGAATCAATACGCTGCAACATCCCACGATTCCATTCAGACAGAACTATATCTAAGGGTGTTTGCCCAAAGCTATCAGTAACTAATACACTGGCGCCTTGTTCAAGGAGCACCGTGGTCATATCAATGTCGCGTTGGAATGATGATATGTGTAATGGTGTTTGCCCGAGCTTATCAACGGCTGATATGTTAGCACCATGATCAATAAGCAGCATCGCTAATTCGGTTTCCCCTGTCCACAGGGCTATATGCAGTGGTGTTTGCCCGAAATCATCAGCGATTGATATGTCGGCACCACTTAGGAGAAGCGCCCGTGATAGCATATAATGTCCCTGCTCAACTGCGTAGTTCAGAATCGCTCTTCCATCTACACCCTTTGCATTGATATCATAATTCGGCTCCGTCGCGAGATATAACAATGAGATCTTCTCTGTCCCGTATTGGATGATATGCTGCAACAGACCTTGCTCTCCTTTGAACGGGGTGTGCCGCACACTGCACGGATATGGTTCGTCTGGCATGAAACGATATTGAGTTGCGAAGGGGGATTCTGGCAATCGATCAGCTTCGAGATCCATTAGAGTCTGGATTACTGCCTCGTTTCCTGAGGCAAATGCCGCGAGTAATGGAACTCTATACCCCTCGCTTTCAATTTCGAAACTGGACTGACGATTAGGGTGGGCGCGAATGAGGGCCGGCTTATTAGCCTTGATCAGGATATACAGAAGGCTGACTTCAGAATGATAATAAACGAGGTCGATTTCTTTACGAATTTTGACCCACTTAGAATGTGGAAATGTTGTCAGAAAGTCTCCTTGGTTTATACCGTGTTGCTGAGCTTGTTCAGCGTGATCCAGAATCCTTCGATTCGCGTATAGTAAGAACGGAAATGCGTCATAGATTGGTTGGCGAGGAGGATCTTGCATGCGCGACACTTGGTCCATGCGAATATATGTCAGGCAGCATTCTTTGAGCATATCATGGCTTCTACCAACAAAATTTGCTGCCAGTGATGGCCAGATTCTAATAAGGCCATTTTCTTTGAGCAAAAAGTCTCGAACTGATTCGTGGATGAATTGAATGGTGGGCGTAATCGAGACAGTAGGTTCGGCCAGCCCCTTTGACATACTAAGTATATATCTCTTCATAGCGTCTTCTGTAATGTTGGATGAATGACAGCGAGCCAAATTATGAGGCTCTATTCCGGAGATTACGGCAAAATACATTTCCTTTAGTTTAAGTGGCGGAGCGAATAACACCCATTGGATACATAGAAGAAGTCCATTTGAGTTGCTACCGTCACGGGTCAGAATGCCGAAGAATAAGTCTTGAAGGCCATCGGGAAATTGTTGAATCCGCTCGTGAAGAAGATGCTCATTGCCCGCATCGTGTTCCTTATTCAGAATTGATACGACAAGTACAACCCACATAAAGACACCAGCGGCTTTCGTTAGGAGATCTTGGTGGATCCTTGTTGCAAGAGATTGATTTTGAATAATTAACCTGCTAGCTACGTAGCTTGCTATATCCTTTCCATGGCCTGTTTGTGCTTCAAGAACAATTCCGAGTCCCATCTTTATAGAGATATGGGGATAATGTCTACTAGCAAAGCAGGTGCGAAAGCGGTTTTGAGTAATGCTAAGATCGCTTAAGAAAGATATCATGTCTCGAATTTGGGCCTCTCCACATTCGTCAAGCGCGTCTATGAGACAGATAAATGAGGTGCCAGAAGCCGCTTGTATGGCCTCCTCGAGGATAGTTTTGAGTGATTCAATCGTCCAACGATGCCCAATCTGAATCTTATCCAAAACGGACTGGATATCGGTGCGTGCCTCAAACAGTTGTAGCAGCAGCGATCGATACAGTCCAGCAGTACTTTTTCCCAGCTCGTTGCCTCTGGCATTGAAAAAGAATGCAAGTATGACCTCTTCGCTCGCAGACTGATTAGTTTGCCTACGAAGCTGTCCTAGTATATATTTCATCAATGTTGATTTTCCCGCACCCGGCTTTCCTCTTATCCATAAGAAGCTTTGGCCGTTGTTTGCTTGCACCCAACTGACGTATTCCGAAGTGTTCAGGAACCACGCACACGTTCGTTCATGGGCTTTCTTTATACTGCTTTCCCGAGCATCCATCTGGTCGAATCGCAGCGACTCGAGTAGGATCCGGCGATTGTTCATGAGGTTTTGTATCTTCCCGACTTCAAAATCCGCATTTGACTGTTTGCTGATGTTTATAACCAAATCTCTGCCAGCTGCGAGACTACCAGTGTTCTGTACCCCGCAGCCTTCAAAGCTATTTGATGGCTGGCCATGATGGTCGTAATCAAGTGCAATATCCGTCAAGTGACTAGTATGACCAAGTTCCGCTCTATGAAGCCTTGGTCTCTTGGCTCGCGGTTCCATGCTCTCGCGTCAATCGCATTGGATGTCTTGCTCGAATCATCGAGATTTCGGCAACGGGCCAAGCTTGCAATCGGTACCCTCTTGACAGTGAGGCGGGGAAATGATACTAATAGTTGTCCGGGATCGAAGACGGCGATGAGCAAGGGTGGTCGAGAGATCGTGAAGAACGGGTGATTGCGGGGTCGGAAGGATGTCGTGTGATTACGGCAGGATACGAAGATCTGAAGTGAGGTCTTCGGTGTCATGGAAAATTGGCTGCCAAGGCTACTTGGTTCGATCCGTGACTATGAAAATAGATCCTCCGCATTGAATTGACGCGAGAAAAGGATAAAAAAAAATGCAGGATAAAGGCAGCCTCGGATAAGCATCGTAAGAAGGCGAGAAGGAGAATGGCGCAGCATTGCGACAGTGTCGAAAGGCCTGAAAACGCCAGAGCTGATGCACAGCTGCCCAATCCCCTTCTTCTGTGGCCAAGATCTCCAGCGCAACATTGGATTTTCGGTGCCTTAGTCAATTCTACGTTCAGTTGCCGACCTACGAATTCTTGAACATTGATATTAGACTTTTAACTCCCAGGAAACAATTGGCCGCTGCACAATCGCGCGCAGACCCTGGCGCAATGCCAGACGGAAAGGAAAGGTGTCGAGTTACACTATCGTTGTTGTCCTGTACGCTGTTCAGTTAAAGATACTCGCTATACGCTCGTGCTGAGTGAAGAGCACAAAAACTCGCAGAGTGAGCTGGTAGGCGCTATATATTCGGTCGGCTTTCTCGTCATAATGCCCGTGGGTCGCATAACTTCTTGGTTTGTAAAGCAGGATGACATCGGCAACAGTTTCACAACTACACAGCGCTTGCTGATACCATTTATGACATGGTGCTGCCCAACCCACCCCCGAGATACCTACGCCCCTAGACGTTCTGGACGCAAGCCACGCTGACCGATCGCCATAGGGGGTTGGTGTAGTATGATGAATTGAAAAGCCTCCTCTTTGTCCGGCAGCGAGTTAAGCAGCGCTGTCTTGAAAGTGAAATCATATAGCATGTTCACCATACTTTATTTGACAGTCCATGTCCGGCGGCGCCCTGGATGCCTTGTTCGCTGTATAACCCCCTCATCTCAAGTGCAGAGCATACCTAAGGGCATGATAATCTAGAACAGATATAACGCTGACCCCAGTCTTAGCGGCATTGGTTCGCATGATGCAATACAGGCAATCTTTGGCCATGCTTTAGAAGACCTCTGATAATGGGAAACAGCTCCCTTACGTTGTTTCATCTGCCTTATTCTCTGAATGGAGGTACTCAAACTTTGTCTAGGCTCAATCGGCCGTGATTCAACTGGCCCTAAAGTATACGTCACACAACCCCCACCTTGATTACGAGATGAAAACGAACACCGATTCGAGAGTTTTCAGCTTGAGGGCTTTTGCTTGTGTCTAGCTAGATGCACATGAGTATAAGTCATTCCGTCTAAAGGAAAACATCAAGGGAAAGTGTGACGACAAGATGCAGTCGAAAAACGATCCCGTCATTGAGAGCACCTCGGCGGCTGTCGCAAGTGCTGATAATATGCCTGATCATGACGACGATTCCGGCGAGCGGCCGGTATCAACTCCGGGACCTACAAAGTGGAATCGCGAAAGCTACTTTGGCTCCCTCGCGTTTAATATTGCGGCATTTATCCTCCCTGCACTATACGGGACGCTTTCTAAGCTCTGGGTTGCCAACATCGACTCTTCCATGGTTGCGACGACGGACGTCTACACGTATCTGAATACTGCCGCGGAGGCCATCAACGAAGGCCTTCCTCGGGCCGCCTGGGTAATCATCGGTGACAAGGCCTCGAGAGATTTGGCTAAGAGACTACAGTTGACACATACTCTCATTCTCTTCCAAGCTGTTGCTGGTCTCATAATTAGCATCGTTTTCGTCAGCGCAGCTTCTGCTGTTGCTGATAGCTTCGTCCCGTCTGAAGTGAGGGAAGCAAGCCTCAAGTACGTCCGGATTACATCGTTTACCGTCTTCGCTGGTGCCATTGAGACGGCTGTGGCAACGGCAACCAGGGCATTGGATAAACCGGATGTACCTTTAGTCATTAACTCTGTCAAGTTTGCCGTCAATATAATCCTCGATCTCCTTATCATCTCGCGGTTTCATGTCGGATCTTTTAAGCCGACCGTCAACATGCAGGCTATTGTTCAGCTGGTGTGCAGTCTCGCTGCCGCATTTACTGGGCTGGCGTACTTTCTCTGGTTCAACACACTGCGCTTTTATCACGATCATGGCAGACATGAAAGTGACAACACTTCGGTGAATCAAGCTGCCCGCAATCTTCGACCGACCGTTGGAGCCCTTGCTGTTCTTATTCGGCCTGGGATTATCACATTTCTTGAATCCGCGGTCCGCAACGCGCTCTACCTATGGTTGGTAACGACGATCGTCGCTCTCGGCACTACGTACGCTACTGCATGGGGGGTTTTCAATACCATTCGGTGGGGTCTCGTGATGGTCCCTGTTAATGCTCTTGAAGCCACCTCGCTGCAACTTATCGGTCATCGTTGGGGCAAGTGGCGATGGGAAATGGGTGTCGAAAACTGCCGACCGAAAGCCACACGCAGGCATGTATATACCATAGTTCAACCTGCGCTAATGTCACTGGCTATTGCGCTTGTAGTTGAAATTCCTATCGCCATCTTCCTCTCCTTCTTTGGAGCTCGTCCTTTTGCCTGGTACATAAGTGGCTCTTGGGACGTCGCCGACGTCACAGCATATATGTGGCGCACAATTGATTGGTGCTACGTCTTCTACGCCATGTCGACGCAGCTAGCTACAATTCTTCTCGCGACCCGTCCGAAGTGGTACTTATACCAGAGTCTTGCGAGCAACATCTTGTACGTACTACCATGGGCTATCGTATGTCAGGTCAAGGATCTAGACGAAGCGAATGCATGGAGTTATCATGGCCTAGTCTTTGGTGGAAGTCTTGTCTTCAGCTTTGTAGATATCGTCGTTGTAGACTCTATCTGGGTATGGTCCATAGTGACAGGCAACATGAGGTTGGAGCTGTTCCGGACGCAGATGTGATTAGTACTGTGGATGAAGTTACACCCACTTGAAATCTGATCACGTGGCCTTTGTTTCGGCTTCTATTCATCATCCAAGCCCGAGGTGTCTTATTGCCACAAAGTCTGTATAAACTCCCTTTTCAACACAAGGTTGCATATCTTATAAAGTAACACAAAGTTTCATGAAATGTCTTTTGCAGGGCGTGCGCCTGTAGCTATAGACGATTCGCATGTGCAGCCGTACGTGTGTGTAACTTTGTAGAAGTAAGGGAGGAAGATGCACTCCAATCCCGCACCTATATCTACCACCTTCGTTTCACATATCTTCGACTTTGGATTTTCCTTTTGGATGTGCTTAACACAGGCTATACAACTCCCTGCTGCTACAACAATTTCCTTGTCCAACTTAATAATATCACAGCTTATACAGGGAAAGCATGATTAAACAGAGACAAAAGGCAGTTTCGTCACAGACAGCACTATTGCCGCCATGCTGTGGACCGAAACTGCCACTTTTTCAGCGAGAACAGATAAAGTAGACCTAAAGGCAGCTCTGCTTGAACTACATATTTAATACACACGCTTTGTTATTTAAGTCATCTAGCTAATCTCCGCAATCAAGCCATTTGAATTGTGAAGTGCCGTCTGTCTTCGAGCCCGGTGATGAAGCTGATGCCTCTGAAACGGCTGTGGTGGCGACCATCATGCTTCATTAATGAACATAGACTGTTAAGGAATGATTATATATAATGCCCCCAACAATAGAGAACTATACAAAGTGTAAATATTCTCTGAAAGAGCATTACCAGCGTTAGGAGGAGCCTGAGCTACCCCAGTTGGCTATATGGATCGCCGCATTAGCCAGGCGTGCTTGTACAAGGCTTACTGCTTATAATATTAGTATTACTTACAATAGCTGTTCCGTTATCAGTAATGGATGACACCACCGAAGTCGAACTAAATTCACTGGAGGTTGTCTTCGATTGTACAGAAGTAGTGATGATGGTAGCCTCGACTGATGATACCGGAGCTTCTACTAATTCCGTGCTGGTTGTCTCAGCGCCGCCCGGTTTACTACCCTCGGGCGAAGCTAGTAGACCACAACTCTCGCCGATACTCGATAACGTCTCACCATAATACTTCCAGATATTTTCATTTTCCGGCCCGGCGCACTTCAGACAGTTATTGTAGTCGTCTAAAAAGACATTGTCATGGCAGACATCCTCGCTAGTTCGGGCTTGCGTGATAGCTCCGCCTATGGAGGTACAATAGGAAGTCAACATCCAATTGCCTTGCTTGAGAGATCCTAGGTATGTAGGAATTAGATGCGCTTACCACAATCTTCGTGACAGCTATATGCGGCTGAGCCAGGGTCCTGACGGCTAACGAGGTTGACGAATAGCAGGTGATCGTAACCAATCGTTGCAATGACACTCTGGGTGGCAATAAATGCTGGAAGAATCCAGTCTTTCCTGACCATGATGATAAGACCAGGAATGGGATAGAAAGGTAGAGAGTGATGTTATGGCTAAATTTCTAGGAGAGCCCAGTGTATTATGATAAGACTTTCAGTTCCGGAAAGTCCAGCAAGCGTGTCATATTTATGTTGCCAAAAGCGCCCAAGTGGAAAAGCCAGATACGTAGCTCGTCTCATCATCACGGGACCAATAATGACTTTACATTGGAAGACTTGGAGATTCTCCGATTCTCGGACAATTACACAAGCTAGAAAATCACTAGCAATCAATAACAATCCACTTAGTCCCCATTGCGCCATCGTTTGTCAAGCCAGAAAATGGCGCTGGGCTTGCTGCAATCAATCTACAGACAAGACGGTACCTGGGTTATCTAGGCTATCACTAGCTTGCCGCCAGGCAAGAGAGTCGTGCAGTAGATGGATGCTAAGTCTCTATAATTCGCTCTGTAGCTTATGTCCCTGATAGTCAGGAGCTTGGAGCCTACTGGTCGGATAATTGGAAGATATTATCCCAGTACCTACATCTCTCCCGATGTCGCTCGGTTTGTAGAATTCTTGTCTGATCTGATTGATTAGATTGATTAGATTAGATTGATAATCGCCAACGGCCTGATCATCTAGGCTCAGAATAGTGTAGCTGGATACTATACTGGTCGCCCATGCTCAATAGTCCATCTTGGCAACGTTGAAACGTTGGCACCGTTCGGCGCCACTGCCGAACTATGTAAATCACGCCACTAGAAGGGTAACGCGGTAAAGACCCAATCCATTCGTACCTATCATCCATTCATAGTTGCATGGCATCCCACCCATGACTAAGATCCGTTGGATGTTGTACGTGGATGCATATTAAATCATGGAAGATGGTGTGTTGAGTGTGCTTAGGTCTTATTCAGGCAGAAAGACTCCGGTAATGCAAGCATAGGAATGGCCAATAGCACCAAAATCAACTATCTTGGAATTCTCCGCTAAGCAAGTCACACGCCTTTCAGGAAGCAGTGGATTGTGATACTAGCGTTAATAAGGAACACTAGTGACTATGTCCTGTGTGCAAGTCTTACCTCGGTATCGAGGTGTGCCAATTCGTTGGGACTTTAGTAGATACATGAACTGAGTAACGCGTCTCAGACACACGGCTTGGCTGAAGCGGTGACTTAAAATGAGATATATCTATAGAATGACCGGCACTCTATACATCTTTTCGGTGTCACCACTCTTGCCTCATCTTGCTTGTCTATTGATCTCTCAGCGTCCTCTCAGCTCTTCAGTAACAATGAGACTCACATATATACCCCTACTAGTAGGCATAAACAGCGTCTATGCTGTAGCCGAAGACAGTAAAGCCCATGGAGAGGGCACCGAAGGTACTGTCCAAGGCCCTGTAGCCTTCCTCTGGCCTGAAGATCGGCCTTGGAGCTCCAGCACGGACAATTCCGGGCCTTGTGGTAGTCCTAATGGCGTCATTAATCGAACTAGCTTTCCTCTCTGTGAGTATACATGCAATTACTTTTACAAGCGTCGCGTAGCTGACCTTACCCATCTTTCTAGCTCAAGGATCGATCGCTCTCACTATCGCAGATGAGGCTTGGAATGTCGCCTTTTCTGTAGCATATGATAACGGTAAGATGATAGAGGTTTAATGAGAATGGCATCATTACTCAAAAGTGCATGACAGATCCCACAGTTCAGACTCAGTTCATTCAGCAAGTAGCCAACGTTGCGGTTGTTGAGAGCGGTCATCAGTGCTACAAGATAAATGACATCCCCGACACAGTCGTGGCTGGTAGTAACGCGACCATCCAAATGAAATATTGGTCTAGCATAGACAACGAGCTTGGCGGGCGCAATCAAACGTTCTTCGCATGTGCAGACATAGTATGTAAAACGAAACGAAGCTGCCTTATTTGACTCGTCGCTAAACAGGATACTTTCTACCATAGACCTTCGTTGAGGCGGCTGACTTCTCGACCCAAGTACCTTGTTTTAATGTCACATCCTCTGACTTCAACCTACCCGAGTCTTCATCCACCGCGACAGCCGGTCAGCCCGAAAACACCGCTAACACTAGCTCGGACTCCAATTCGGGGCTTACAAAAGGTGCTATCGCAGGTGTCGCAGTTGGTGTCGTAGTGGCATCGCTCCTCATCATAGGCGTTGTAGCATTTTTCGTGCTCCGTGGGCGAAAGAGTCAAGCATTAGGTAACGAAACCCAGCAAGATGGACGAAAGGTTATGACTGAGGTTGCATCTGTAAACAGCCGTCAACATTAGCTTGTGAGCGTGAACCGCGACAGAGTGTTCATCTGAAACGAATCATATGAGTCCTACCCAACACGTAGGGTGAGGAACTGCTTGAAAGGGGGTAAAGGTTCACTATTGGCAATAGCTTTTTCAGAGGGGTAGCTAGCTGACTTAATGATTCAATGGATTCCTAGTATTAGCCTTCGCATCAATGTCCAGCGAGTGACCAAGGAACTTGTTCTCCAACGCAACAACAGTCTAGATTACCAGTCTACTGGAAACTTCCCACCTATATCAGTTTGATAGGCAGGATGCTTCCTTACTGGGTATTTCTCATCAAAGCCTGATTCTGTTAGAATAAATTCGCCCTGTCAATGATGTTTGGTTCGTAATCGAAACCCCCTTATCCAAGAACTACTCACGTACGACAGGCGCACATATTTTGAGATCATGTCACGAGCTATGGCGACTATTTGCGATGGCCCAGATGCTAGTGTGATGGACCTGACACACACGATGTCCTTCTCGAAAGTGTCTGGGGTATGGTGGAGTTCCCGCAACTAATGTGGGATGGCAATCTTGGCGATTCGGGTGACCTGATCGAAGCCACTAACGAGCGTGGAGATGCTTCTGCTGGTTTCTAGGATAGGCCAGGGATACCCGATCCCCTATCTAGTGTAGAAAAGGTGAAACGAGCAGACATTGTTGCTGGGACCAATATCGCTGGGAAGTGAATAGTAACTAACTGCAGTGTGTACATGTATGTTCTTGCGCTGTAGGGTGCAGATAGGTAGGATAGGGGCTATGACTTCTTAAGGAACTAGCTATTTGTCGCCGGGGACACTTGCTTACAGCCAATTGATGTGTCAGGAAGTGAATTAGTCAGTTGAATCGACATCCTCCTGTTTTGTTTTTTGATAATTATACACCTAGTTGTTGATATTCTTTTCAATCAGATAGCCAACCCCTTGCAGACTCATCAATAAACTCATACCTTGCTATATCCTACTCTTAGACATCAGAGTGAATAGGAGGCACACACATCCAGTGTGCAGTGTGGGATGGTCTACCTAATTAATGAATTAATCTACTCTATGCCAGCTATAGCACGTGCTGATATAGATCTGCCCACGGCTGCATGTATGGTTCCAACTAGCGTAGGACTTACAACTGGCATAGGTACTTCGACTTACCGTAGTATCAAATTCTTCTCAATTATACAGGTTGGCATGAAGGCTGTACGAAGTATACAGTAAGACTCTCGTTATGGCACAAAGTCTAAAAGGGTCAGAAATCCTAAGGCATTCAACCTTCTTCTAGCTATATACAAGGTATCTCTTGGTACTCCTTTCTCTGGACCCCTGTCTCCATCTCCATCTCCAGACCCCTTAACACAGGGTTCAAGGTATAGACTAGGTAGTACTTTAGCAGTACTATATTAATAGCGAAGCTAAACGAGCAGCCCGTCCCACACTAAATAGCCAGCTGTCTATCACCTGAGCAGACAGTTTGTATACCGTTTACCTTGAAAATTACAGCTTTTTCTAAACCCTTATAAAGCCTTCTGACACACCTAACTTCAGAACCTTCGTTGCAACTCTTTATGAAAGACCAGGTTTCTAACAGTTTACACCTTCACATGGTTACGTAGACATAGCGATTTGGCTAACTTAACACTCTTTGGACCCTCTTTCTTTTGTAAGCACCGAGGGAAAATGAGCTCAAAATGAGTTATCGCAGCTACGTAGCGTGCTATATAAATTGTGATATACAGTGTAGATAACATCGCTGCAGATAACGCACAACTAAAGACAGTTGAACAACTACGGTACCCATTTCATGCCGGACTGGCCACCCGCTTAGCTTCGCTCTAGACCAGACCCTGCGCACAACTACTCGATCTATATCAACGAATCAGAATCAGCACAACCTCGCACTGGTACAGATCTGGCTCAATATGCTTTGGGCCCTGTATCCATACAGTGTGACACCCCCAACCTCCGGTGGGCGCTTAATCATACAAGCAGCGCGGTTATGGCCAAAACGGCGGCAGCGGAGCACCACTCGTTCCGTTCGGGCCTTTCCGAGAGGCTCAAGCACCTACCGCTGAACCCCGATGTCCATAATTGGCGTCTGAGGGTGAGGCCATAGACCCTTGTTGTGGGGGAAGGTCCGTGCCCAAGCTGAACTGTTCTCTTGACGTGGCTATCTTGGCGCTCGTGCGCAATGACCCGCGTGCTGCAGACATCGGAGCATTTCATTCTGTTTAACTTAACGAATCTCGTCGTGTAACGAACAATGGCCGGCATATCGCTGTAACATAATGCACGTCGGGACCTTTCTTTGTATTACATGCCAACACAGTGTACTATTGGCCGTACGACGACGATGGTAACTTGGTGCATCTTCGAGCTGAGCAGCCAAGCTTTTATGGGGTTGAGCGTTTGAGCGTACATTCGTTTCGGAGTTTGAGCGTTGACAGTATTCTACCGGTAGCATGTTAACATGAACTCCAAAGAAGGGAACTCGACGCGCATACTCCACGGGGTCAAAGTGTCATGATGGGATACGATTTTGGCATCTGAAGACGTTGAAATGTCTATATAAGGGTTGACAATCCCCCCGAATCAGACAGCTTTTCCTATCATCACCACACTACAACACACCAACTCAACAACCTTCACTACCAACCACTTTTCCAACACCGTCTTCACGACACCAAAACCCAACAATCAAAATGTCTGCTCCGTAAGTCGCCTCCCTCCTCACCTCCACATTGTCCTCTCCTAGCTGGGCCACAGCCGAGTCTTTACTAACTCTTCTATCCAACAATAGCACCCGAACTGGTCCCCTCGCCACCTCCGGCCGTGAGGAATACGGTGCCCCCGCCCTTCCCCTACCCGGTCTTTCCGGCCAGGGCAACAACGTTGCTGGTAAGTCGGCAATCGGCAATCCTATTCCATCTTTTTCTTGCGATCGATTAGATTTGCTAGCTTCAGCCCCCCAAGCGAACAATCACCACTAACCAGCACAACAGGCAACCTTGTCAAGGGCCCCATCGATGAGAACGGAAAGCTCAAGGCTGCCGCTCTCCTCGTCGGTGTCAAGCTCGACCTCGAGGCCGAAGTCCACCTGTCTGCCCGCGTCCGCGGTGACATCGTGGTCGGCCTCTACTAAGCGCTGCTAGCTAGCCACTAGCTCCAGCTCATACAACAATCAATAAACAACGCCTTCAACACTAGATTCATCCGATCTTGTCGAGTCCGACGACGACATGTTGAGGAACGCCGTCTCCAACAGGCGACTTTGTTTCCACATTCTCTGGGCTGTAGGCGCTTACACTCCACACTTGGATTGGGGGGTTTCGGTAGGAAGGGAAACGGGAATGGAAAGGGGTTAAGGGGGCTGGATTGGTCTTGGTTTTATTTTTCAGGGGTTTTCGGATCGGAATCGGTACACACTCATCACAAAAAACAGAAGCGGGAAAAATGCAGGGTCAAGGAGAGAAAAAAGGGGGCGCTTGCTTGTGCTTTCTCGGCCGTCAGTCATAGCTCATCGCTATTCCCAGCTATCTAATTAAAATAACCTTCTTCTCAACTTTTCTGCTCCTGTCGGTTGATATATGCGTGATTGACTAACTCTTTGAGCTTCGGAGTGTGTTGACTTGACTTAGTTTTCATCATAGACTGCTGGCCTTTTCTAGTTGGTCACGTTAGGATATTGAAACTCAAAAGAGCTAATAATCCGGTATTTCCTCCTTTTGGTCTTTCATCCTTAACCATCCGCGAGCCAAATCAGCGCTGTAAACACTATACGGAAGATATCTGAAGAGCTGGTCTTAGAGACCATTAACACTTTACGCGTTTCCTCTTATGTCATCACCCATACTCTCGTTATACGTTGTCGCAATCCATTTTCTGTGTTTAGAAAGGTAGTCTTTGATACATGATTCTATTTTATTGTCCACGCTGCCATTGCTTGTTCCACCCATACGTCACTGCGGTAGCTAATCCGACAAACTACGCAGATGTTTGGAGGCCCATCAGCAGGCGACTGTTCGCAGCGGCGTTATTCCCCGAAGCTTGTAGGAAGCGACTCGTGATGCCAGGTATCCACGGAATCACATAGAGAAAGGGATACCCGTTCAATATGAGCATCCGCCGCAGCTCTCGTTCCATCTTCTGTGATCGCTGACGTATTTCATCGTTAGCAAAGGATGTATGCCCCATCCCATTGCTCCCCGACACTTTAGGCAATGTGGACGATGGTGAAGTCTCCAGTGTCGGGGCATTTGACCGGTCTAGCTGTGAGCCAAATCCTCTATCGGCCTCGCTTTCCGACTCGTCAATAAGCATTGACTTATTGTGGCGTTGAAAATACCAGTATATGTATGCATAGGAAGACAATAGCCAGCCTACAGCCGTGCGTAAGGGCGTGACGCAGATCGGTGCAATCAGCCGCGATCGAATACCAGTTATTGCCAACGGGCACCATCACTCCGAGCGCCGTGGCGACCGTGCCGGTGGTGATGGCGATTATCCAGACAGATACGCAGATATAAATGACCTGGGGCCTTGAAATCTTGGCTGGTTGCGTCTTCTACGCGACTACTAGCAGAGTCGAGATGCCGGTGGCGAGAATCGAGAAGCCAGTTGCCTCGACTCATGGGCAGCCAAGGCAAGATGAGTTGGTTTTGGGGGGGGGGGGGGGGGGGGGGGTTTTAAAAACCCAAAAAAAAGTTTTGTAAAAACAAATTGTAAGTTAAGTAGCATAACCCCGGGCCCACCGTGGTGGGTTTTTTTTTTTTAAAACCCAAACG